TGAATATTTACTGAGTTCTATTGAAGTGTAAGAAATCACAATTTAATCTAGAAAAAACTTTACACTAGAATTTGTGCTGTAATATAAGATGAGTAAGTGTAATTTTATCAGAAAAATTGCACAAGCATGGTGGCAGAGCACAATGCTAAGGCGAACAACATAGTTCAAACTTTCGGAAAAAATTTCATAACTGAGCAAGTGAATCTGACGTAGAAATGTTCCATATTATTTTCCTTGCTCATTGGAAACTACAAGTACGTCATTTTACAATAACAATTTACTTGCGAAACGAATGAGGAATTAATTCTAATATAAAATAGAAGAATAGAATAGAATTAGGAATAATTATAAGAATTAAGAATTATAGAATAGAATTAAGATTAATTCCGAAAATGGTGAGCATTAATATTAACCATCTGTAACAACCACGACACGTACTGAAATACTCCTATAATTACTTAAGGACAGAGAATCACTCAGAAAACTTCTTGAATGACACCATAATTTCTCCATACCGCTACACTGTCATCGGGTTGTGAGTTCATGGTTTGCAATTGTTGCTTTTCCCAACGGACGCGTGTCTGTTCAGGGAATATGTTTTATTCGACATGCAATAAATTCGTCTAAAGAAGCTTATACGAGAGATGTCAAAGAAATCTCGCCTTGGTCCAGCGTTTATATCGGAGGAATTTATTCCAACTATCATCAAAGACGGTGATTTATTGCCAGAAGTTGCCTCAATTGCATCGATGTTGAAATGAACTTCACGTGAAATGATAAGGACTGCGCATCCTGACTGCGTGCCTGCTGAACCATGATCAGACTCACGCAGGTGGCGGCCATTACTCATCTTCTGTCCTTCGCAGTCAGTGGTGGAGATGGCCATTGAAGCCACTGGTGGCCGTCGTAACTCATCTACTCTTCTTCACAGTTAGTTAAAAAATGACCATCGATGCCACTAGTGGCCGCCGTAACTCATCTGCTGTCCTTCGCAGTCAGTCAAGAAATGGTCATCGATGCCACGCTGTAATTACCGCGCAAAACGCCGTTTTGATACAAAAAGTTTTTTCAGAGATGCTGGATTATTAATTTCAAGCCACAATATAACTCTTTATTTTCGTGTCTTCACAAATTTGACATCTCGTGATATGGTGTTTGTTGGTCATCACAGCAACATAAATAAGAAGAGCTTCATGTTGCGTCAGTGGGAGTCATGCGTCTGGCGTCATTATTGCTTATCCGTTCGCTGGCAGCGCATGCGCGCTGTGGGCTCGCGTGCAGGTTGTTGCGTGCGCAGCTCAAGACTTCACCTTGCGGTCAGCCGCTCGTGAAGCTCCCGAAGCTTCAAGCGCATATTTCCCTTAACGTTGTCCTAAATAAACGAGACACTTTCACTTATCAGCTCATAAGTAAATTGAGACACATTTCAACAGTTCCAGGACCGTTGGCCCTCCAAGCAGACTAAAAATTCATGTTCTGGAGTTTCCTTCACAAATATAAATGCCAAATAACTTGAAAAATTTATTGGAAATTTTGGTAGTGTAGAGAATTTATAAAATGGAGCGTACACGATTTGCTAGACGGAATCCATTTCTATAACAGTGTGCTCACGTGTTACAATAACGATCAACTGACTCAAATTCAAGATTACTCTTTCAACGAATAATTTAATATTTGAAATTCACAATGTAATTTTTTTGGAATCGGAAACTTTCAGCATGTAAGCTTCACGCATTGTAATCGGATTGAATAATGTAAGTAGTTACAGCAAAGTTATTCTTTAGCGTGATGATCATAGGGAAAATACTTGATGCAACGTATAGTAGTGAAAGTGGCTTGAATTCAATAACTGTAACAACAAGCAGACACTTAAATGTCAACGGGCGTCACTCATGGCTTACGGTCGCACATGACGGCCGCTGTGCCGTGATTGCATCGCGCAGCTCTCCGCATCTACGGAAAGCGAGAGCGACGAGCAAGATCTGTACGTGGTGCATCATGCATGTGATGTGCGTGATGTATGAAATGCATGTGATGTGCGTGATGTATGTAATGCATGTGATGTGCGTGATGTATGTAATGCATGTGATGTGCGTGATGTATGTAATGCATGTGATGTGCGTGATGTATGTGATGCATGTGATGTGCGTGATGTATGTGATGCATGGGATGTATACAATGCATGTAATGCATGGGATGTATACAATGCATACGGCTCATGGTGCATGCAAGGCAACTGTGCTGCATTGACAGATCTGAGTGGATCATTGCCCAAAAAGTCAATAAAGTTGATTTATTTTCACAATATAGGACAGTTTTGTGTATATGCATGATGTCTGCGGTTGTTGGTCTTATTCTTGTAGTAATATTGTGAAACGGTATTAGGAATTATTACAATAATTAGATAGCATTGAATTAGGCCGATAGGAGAAATAAGCAGCCAATGAAAAATTAGTTTTTCATTAGTGCGCTGCTCGTCCAAAAAGTATATCCAAACCTTGTCCATTCTTTATACTATACGTACGAAATTCATTCCATCAAGTCAAACGCTAAATAATTTATTTGGCACATTATTTTCCGACTAATTTTTAAGCGATTCATTCGGTGTCAACGCTATTTATAAATTGAATTCACAATCCAACATTCAGTTTTGAAGCTCTTCGCTCAAGTGGGCGATAAAGTCCTGATAATGAAGCCCAATCCTCAAAGAGAAGTCACACTATCGATGAGTGTTGCGCGTGATTGGACTTTATTGCCCCGTGAGCGTACCGAGGTCAAGGGTTCCAATCATGGCCACTCTAATCGAAGTGATTTCTCTTTCCAGGATGCAACTTCTGGTGGTGGCTCTAGTGGCAGCTGCGGGCATCTTGACTGCAGCTGGTCCTCAGTTCAATGGATTTGGAAGTGGATTTGGAAGCGTATTCGGAGGTGGATTTGGAGGAGGATCTATTGGAGGTTCAGGAGGGTACCCGACAGGGCCTGTGACCCCACCACGAGGGTATGGACCTCCCCCTGTAAGACCTCCAGCCCCAACCTCCCCTCCAGGAGGGTATGGAGTACCTCCTATAGGGCCTCCTATCCCGCCCCCACCACCAGGGGGATATGGCCCTCCCACAGTGAGGCCTCCCAGTAGTACTTATGGCCCACCAACTAACGTCCCTGGGACTTGTCCTGTTCGGCCACAGACATCTGTTATTTACACAACAATCTACCAAACGTCAACGATATTCACAACCTTCTACCAAGGTGGTGGCACTCAAGTCATCACCACTACAATCTTCAACTCACAATTTGTTCCCACGACAGTGTTTAATACTCAGCTAATAACTAGCACGAATTTTCAAACAAACTTTGTTCAACAAACAACCCAGCAAGTGATCGATACAGTAGTGCAGCAAACCATCCCGGGAGGAAATCAAATTCAGACAATATTTGTAACGAGCACCAGGATCATCCCTCAAATCAGCTTTGTAACGGAGACGCAAACGAGCACCCAAATCATTCCAATTTTGATAACTCAAACACAGTTACAAACAATCAATACACAAATTGTGGAGTACATCACGAGAACCGTGACGCAAACTCAGATTATAACCATCCCAGGAGGCGATGAGATACGCACTGTTTTTATGACGCGCTTCGACACCCAAGTTCAAACTGTGGGAGGGGGACTCCAAACGCAGGTTGTCACTGCAACCAGTTTCATCCAACAAGGGCAAACGATTACAATACCAGGCCCTGATGTTACTAGTACCATTGTACAAACGAATCAGCAGTTAATTCCTACAACTCTCGTTACCACGAGGTTTGAAAACCAATTTGTAACGCAGACCCTATTCACCACTCTGACGAACTTCATAACTCAGACAGTTGTGTCAACTAGTTTCGTGAACCAAGAAGTTGTGTCAACAGTTTTCATTCCACAAGTTATTACGAGAACCCAAATCATTTATCAGACCATACCGTTCATTCAGACCAACACCGTCTTCCAGACAAGTTTCATCACAATATCAGGTGGACTGGATACTCGAACGGTGACAATCACGTCTGTTACTCAAATTCAAGGAGGAGGACAAACGATTTATTCAACTCTAGTTTCAACGCAAGTTACTTCGCAAGTCATTGTTCAGACCATCAACAGGAATATGATTGCGACCATCACAAGAACCGTGCCGCCCAGATATTGCTCTACTACCCCTCCGTCCACTGGAGGCTACAATTATAACCCGCCTTCGATTCCGTTCACATTTGGATTTTAATGTAAATTATTATTAGCAAATGTGTCTTTTCTGGCTTGTGATGCAAATAGAGAGAATAATTGTCGTAAATATGGATGAGATTACATATTCTTTCGACGAGCAAGCGCTCACTTAAATAATTTGCGGTCGCAAGGCCAGTTCGCTCGTGAACAACGTTCGTTTTCGTACATGAAGCCAGTTTCCTCATTCTGGATGTTGACGATTTTTTTTGTTTGGAAGTTAGCTGCAGGCAAGAGGTGCTAGCTTCGTGAAAAATTTGGTTCAGTTAATACGTGTTAGTGAAATTCTCACCAAAATCATAACTAAAATTTGTTGCGATGCACCTATGTTTCAAAAACTACTCAATTATAGATGTGCTGACTGACAGATGTTCCGTGGTGGAGATGCATAAAAAAGATCGTAGTAATGAAAGTAATGTATTAAAGTAATTAAACAAGAGTAATTTTCGCTTACCAAAATTAGGTCAATAGACAATATTGTTCAAATTGACTCCTGGAGAATATTTAAAATACAATTTGATAGGATTGTCCAATTAGTCGTCATTTCTGGGCACTTCATAACTTTTCACACTAGATGGGTCTTTCTTGTAGTGTCAAATAGTGCTATCACCTGCGAGGGTTTTATTGCAGTTAATAAAGCAACAATTTAGTTTCTTAGTTGATATGACGCCCGTGAGTTTCAAGTGACGGATACTATTACGAATGCATCCACACCAAATTAATGTTCTTGTCTTGCCCACAGGATGCTGTCGGCCGTGCTGTGGCTCGCGCTGGCGTCTCCGTGCTTCTCGGCATCCTTGACGCAGCGACAGTTCCGGCAGTTCGGTGGAGTCCCGCAGCTGCAGGGATCCATCAACAATGGCTATTTGCCGCCTCGGCCTACGTCTGGCCCAGGAACATGTCAGCAGTCAACTGCGTTTGTCACGTCCACCCAGTATTCCAACCAAGTGGTGACCAGCACCATCTACAGCAACGGAGGTGGTCAGATCATCACACAAACAGTTTTCAGTACACAATTCATACCAACAACATTCTTCTCTAACCTTATATCAACAATCGTTGTCAACAGTGGCCAAATTCAGACCCAGTTTATAACTATAACGATCACTAATACTCGCACACAGTTTGTTACTCAACCAGGTGGAATTTCATTCGTGACGAGTACTCAGTTTGTTGATGTGCCTCAGATCGATTTGCAAACACGATTTATTACGCGTACCGTTCAAATTCCTTCAACGGGAGTCACAACAGTGTTCTCAACGACAGTCATCCCACAACAAGTTGTGAGCACTATTTTTAATTCCCAATTCGTTACCAGAACTATGATTATACCTGGTCAAACACGAACTGTCGTCAGCACATTGTTCAGTACTATTTTCTCAACTGTCAGCATTCCTGGACAGACGATTTTTCAAACACAAACTATTTTCAGCACAAACTTCATTCCTCAAACGATTACGCTTCCCGGAGCCACTCGAACTGTTGTGTCAACAGTAATACAACCTGTATTCACTACAATCTTCTCCACAGTTTTCTCTGGAAACATTCAAACCAGCTTCGTTACTAGCACGCAGTACGACAATAGAGTCATTACATCTACAATTGTTACCCAGGTGAACAATTTCAACACGCGAACTGTTACGGTTCCTCAAGTGAGCACATCAGTTGTCATCCAAAACCAAGTGACGACATCCACTGGCTTCACCCAGGTTGTCATACCAACTTTCGTGACGGTAAGCGGAGGGAACGGAGTTGTAACTGTAACTCGGACTGTCGTGTCAACTCAAGTGATCCCAGGCAGTGGACAGACCGTATTTGTTACAAGGACCGTCTTTTCGACTTCTTTCATCACCTCCACTGTATTCAACACCAATGTGCAGACTACAGTGATCACCATCACCCAGCCCTGCAGTGGTGGGGGCACCAGTACAGGTGGATACAACTATACCCCTCCTCGCGTAGCGTTCAACCCCTTCAATTGAAAGTCTCGTGTCCGCTGTGCACGATAATTTCATCTTTTTATTACTAAGAACAGATAACAGAGTAATGACTCTAATCATCAGTACACTGATGAATTGTAAATAAAGTTTGATGTTCTGTAGCTATTATAATATTAGTTATTTAAACAATGTCATTTATCAGAACACAAAGCGCCGAATTGTATTTGAAATGTAATTTGTTTATTCATGGCGCTATGAATTCATTCTTCATGTACGCTCGAATAGCCACACTAGAAAAAATTTTAGCATTCTGGGTAAAAATTGTTACGATTTTGGATCATAATTATTTTGCACGCCTGTAATACTTCTTGGTGGCCTGTGTACGGTGAATACTTGTGTCTGATGTCCATCGATTGCATCAATGGATACTTCATGATGATTGCTTACGTATTGATGTGAATAACAGATAACCACGCATTCATGTACGTTACAGCCTGGTGCATTCGGTTAGAGCGAAACATGTAATTTATCTTACTCTCCAGCATCGTGAGTGTTGCGCACACCGCTGCCATGGATGCAACGAGAACCTAGGCTTCATTATGTACGGATCGTGTTGTCATTAAAATAGTTATCTAATGATTATGTTTTATTTTACTTTGAAAATAATTAAGAATCGACGGACAGTTTATCACCTAAGAAATATTTCACACACGAAAAGACCATTAAAAATAAGCTGTCACTTAGTCGTAATCGACTATCCTTACGAACAGTATGGATTGTGAACAGATCCTCCTGCGAGGACGGCTTGTATGTACGCAAAGATCTACTTATTTAGTTCTCCAGTCAACAATATACATACGTGTGTTCGCTACCATAGCTCAGATGGAGGTTAGGACAGATGTCAGTCTTGATGTCCAGCCATTCCCAGGTTATTTAGGTAGAAATACTCTATATCGATATTATTAATAATTCGAAGTTTGATTGCTAGACTAATTAAATGCAAAAATGCAACTGTACGAGGTAATTTGACTGAAAATAGTTTAAATTACTTATTGAAAATTCGAACACTTAAGGGTAGATTATTTGAGATACTTGGAACATCCCAAAAATCGATCTAAAGGCAATATACACAGTGCAAAGCTTTAAAGGAGAAATAAGTAATTAAAAGCCACTTCTTTGTATTTTTCATAGAAATGATAATGCTTACAATTACTTAAATGAATTATCTACATTATTTATTTCCCAGAGCATACCAGCTTTATCACTTTCCATGGCTTGCGAATTTTCACATCTTCAAGCGCGAAGAGTTCACAACGACGACGAATTTAAACTTTGGAGCAACGACCTCAACCTTTCTTACCGAGGTAACCATCTTCAAATGATGCATATCAATAGTTCAATGAAGAATGCAAAACATCCCGGGAATTGCTTCTTGCGATGGCACAGAACAAATAAAACTTAAATCTAGAGTAAATCAATATTACTAGTATTTGAAATGGAGAAAAATCCCAGTTCCGTTATTATAGTGAGGCCATTTGTCTTCGCCGAGAAAGCGGTGCTTCCAACCGAAGAATAGGTAGTACAGAAATGCAAGACCTCATTCAAAACGCATCCTTCTCAACGCATTACTAACTACAAACGCTAATTTTCCTACACGTGACTACAATCAAAGCATGCACTTCTTTGCCGAATAATAGTTCTTTCTACGGCTCATACGTGAGGAGAATTTTCAGTGCAAGGGGAAGAGTTGCAAAAAGGCAAATATTGCTGAATTATAAATGATCATAGGTGGAAACATTGAGCAGCAGAAGCGAAAATTTTGTTGGTCATGGAGGAGGAATGGTATAATTGTGTTCCATTGGAGCAATAAAACTCCCGTGAGCCAAACAAATAGGGATCAATAGCGAGGGAAAACAAACAGGGATCAGGGGAAACAAACGAACAGGGATCAATACACTATACACCTGGGGAATAAGACGCATTAGGTGCCACGATTGAGGTGATCCAGTCGAGGTAGGCTGCGACCCGCGTGTAGACACCCATCTGTCCGCACACTGCGGGACCGAAGCTGAACACCCCCTGTCACCACACGCGGAACGCACTTCCCGGGAGGAGCCTCAGGAAGATCGAAATCCTCCTGCATCAGAGGCCCGCCGCTGTCGCCCTGAGATGTAACATAACCGCTGTTAGAGACCAAATGTAGCTGCACATGACTTCCTCACACGAGTCCTTAGTGTCAGCACACAGCTTACCAAACACAAGTCCTTGTTTTCAGCACGCACTAATCACCCCCACGAGTCCTTGTTATCCTTACAAGTTCAGGACATTTTCGTCCACGGTCATGCTGATGTTTCATCGTCCTCTGCCTCCAAGACGTCGATAGGCAGGTCGCCCTGCCCTATAGGTCCCGAAAATAACGTTGAACGTGTACTGTGCATCTACCCTCGTTTCTGCCAGCTTATGTAAAACTCTGTTGCTTGTTACTTACTGAGGGTAATGGCCCATCATAGAACAATCCGGGATCTTGCTAAAAAAACGCATCCAGTCGTCTTTTGAAAATCGCTGAGGAGAACTCTTCTCCTCTCAGTTCTTTCAGCAAGGCATTGATCAGCCTAGGTACTGCCACGGTAAGAGATCCCTCCTGCACGGAGAGTGTGAACTATGGTCCCAGCTCGGTTGTTACCTTGGGCAATCATGAACAGTGTCCCTCTTCATCAGTAAAGATATGTCGCTATTTCATAGGTCTTACTTTCAAAATTGGGAGCAAGTCCGGTTTTCTTCATCCAAACCTACAGTTTGATCTAACTCTCTTCTCTTGTGAGTACAGTTCCGGGTGTTTCATTGGCTTCGCTTCTCTCTGTCCGCCAGGCCCACCCAATCCGTTGTCTGCCTCCTGCAACTATTTCCTCGATGTGGTCATCAAGCGTGACTTCGGTACTGGTCAACACTTCGATATCTATAATAAGTTACTTCTTCTATATTTCTGTGCCGTCCGATGCCAAGTAGCGATGCAGCGTCCCCGCTTCTGCGCCAACTCTGTACCTCAATACTTCGTAAGTAGTTCTGTTGAATTGCATATTATTCACTAGAGCCTAATCGTAGATTGCCGATGTCGTCCTGTAACCTATCGCAGGCCAGGTCGTCCGTGATTCTTATTACCACTGTTGTATCGTCTACAAATGACGATATAGATTCATATGTAGGTTCTGAGTCGATGTCGGCGATCTTGATGAGAAAGAGTATCGGTCCAAGCACCGAGGGTCCCAGCATCCTCGCTTCTCTGGATTTCTAGTTTCCAACTTCGACAGCTTGTACCTTGTCAGTAAGGTAGTTATGGATCCACCATAACAGGCTTCCTTGCACCCGAGCAGCTTTTGATTTCTCAAGACCACCCCATGGCAGACTTTCTCAAAAGCCTTAGCAAATTCAAGCATACCACGTCTATGCCAGCTTTCTCCTTTAGTAGGGCCACAAGGCGGTGAAGGTTCTCCAATAACTGTGCCAAACAGGAGCGATTTCGCCGAAAACCGTGTTGTCTGTTATTATACTTCTGTTCAGTCTCTTCCATATACTGGACAAGCCTTCCGTCCACTCCTTTCGCAAAAATATTGATCACCTTTGAGGTCAAGGCCACTGGTCTGGAACTATCGAATCTCTTACCAGGGCCTGCTTTGTGGAATGGCGTTACCAGTCTCACTTCGATACAGAAAGGAATAAGTGCATCCGTCAAACGGGTTTTCCAGACTATAGTGAGAGGCTCTTTCAATGGCTCCGATACACTTGATCTTCATTACTGCCGTAATTACATCTAGTCCTGAAGCTGAAAAGGAGCCAGTTCTTCGGTGTTCTTCTCCCAACGGTGATGTTTAACTCGTGACAATTTTTTCAAATTTGCCTTCGTTTGCGAGTTATATGGCTATACATATTTGTATACTCTATGTCAATGCAAATTAAAAATCGGCTTCAGAAATGCCGGTCGTTTCTCTGTATATCCGTGTACCTAACGAAGGCAAGATAACAAAATATTCGCAAGCTAAACGTTACCTATCATTGGGAGGTTAGGCTTGTATATTCAAAGTTTGGTTCAAATCTGTTCAGTAGTTTGAAAGAAATTTCTTGGTCATTGCAAATTTCAACCCGAATTGCCATATAATTTACTAATAAAGGTGAAATGGAAAAATTTTACGAGCTAAACTTCACCGTTAGGTCCTGATGAATGCGTGTAACAAGTTCCATCGAGCTGCGTTCATTAGTTTGGGCGATATTCCTTCGTCATTGAATTTGGAGATTGGCCGTGAGACCGACCGTAAATTTGTCCGAGACGTTTTTCCAATCCGTTTTTCGATGTGAGAAGTCCTGACAGTCCTTCTCGGGATAAAGACCTATCTGGATTTTAATTCCAATTGTCGTGTCCACCATCAACAAAAGATAATGAGACAGTGAAGTCTCCTCAACCAAAACATCATCCACCATTCTTTTGTCGTTAGTGAAGAGGAGATCGAACATACTGTGTTACCATGTTGGCAGCCGTACTTGCTGCCTAAGCAAGTTTTCGCAGCAAGCTGCACTAATTTGGATTAGAATAGAATTGTCGGCACTGAAGTAATAGGCCCATGGCCTATTGCTGATTCTTGTACTTTTTGTGACTTGATTCCACAGGGGATCCGGCCTTCTGAACCCGATCGTTCAAAACGCAGCTGCGTTTTAACGCTGACAAATGTAAAGTTATCCACCTTGGCAAGAATAATGAACAGCAAGATTACAGTATGAGAAGACACGGTTGCAACGACAGAGTGATGATGTCGAAGTCGACAACGGAAAGGATCTAGGAGTTAATATCGACAATGAGTTGAAATTTTCTAAGCATATTGAAGGTCAAGTTAATAAAGCCAATCAACGACTTGGACTGATCAGATGCTCTTTCGAGTTCCTAGATTTAGAAACGATGAAGCAGTTGTTTGTTGCTGTCGTGCGCCCGAACCTGGAGTTTGGAAACGTCGTGTTCCTAGCAAATTACGGACCAGGCAATAAGTCCAGCAGCTATCTCAGTCAATCGTCAGCTATGGAAAGATCGGGGCCCAAAGGCCGGATCCCTTGTGAATCAAGTCACGAAAAGTTCAAGAATCGGCAACAGGCCATGGGCCTATTTCTTCAAAGCCGAAACATCTATTCTATTCTAGTTGATGTGAAGAAGTAACGTAATGCAAGGTGTAATATATTGTAAATTTTCAAAAACTTTCCTGCCTCAATTATTAATTCATTCTACGACGTACTGAAAATTAGCTTGTATTAACCCTAGATACGCAACATTTATTTGTAAACAATTTAAATTGCGAAATTCGTGATCTCGCCGAAGAAAAAAAATCAGACGGCCGGTGTGAATAAACTTTCTATGTTAACACTATTCGCTGAAATTAAAAAAAATGAACTATTTTGAAAAAATTCAATCTCTGGTAATATTACGATCGAAAGTGTCTTGGAACAGTCAATCATTCGTCTGTGAGCCCTATTGAAATGAGGGAATAGTCACGTGGGTGGAGTAAGCCACCGTCAGCGGTCAGCATACGCCTTCGCTGGACCTGTGGGCTTAAGGCCCTGATTGAAAACCGAGAGGCTTCGAACAGGCTCGGCTCTTCC